TTTTTTTGAAAAAATTATGAAGTGGGATGAATTATTTTACTCGAGATTAAGAGTTACTATACAACTATAGTAAGTAAGAAAAGGGTTTTAGCATTACTGTAAACAGAGAGATCAATGAAATGGAATAGAAAATTGGAAGTAGATCCACAAAAATACATTCAACTGTTTTCTGACAAAGGTACAAAGGTAATCTTAGTGTTTTCAAACAACCTTATCAGTGTAGAAGTAACTGGACATACATAGGCAAAAACAAAACAAAACCAAGCCAAAAACACCCCCCTCAAAAAAAAAAAAAAAAAAAAAAAAACTTGACCTAAACCTGTGCTTATACACAAATCAACATAGACTTTGGGCTTTCTTTTAAAATATTCAGAAGAAATTTTGCTGGTTAGTGAATTGGAATAGGGGCTACAAAGAGCTCTTAAATTTAATACCAAAGAACAAAAGAAAAATTGAAAATTAGGATTTCATCAGAATTTTTAAAATTTGCTTTATAAAAGACTCTGTGAAAAGGATTAAAAGACTATCCAAAGACTAGCAGAAAAATGTTTGCAAGCAACATATCTAACCTGAGACTATAATTTGGAATATATAATGAACTCTCAAAAACCAGTTTTGAAAAGCAAAGGATCCAATTAAAAATGGGCAAAAGACAAGGAACACACATTTTACTGAAGCAAATATATATGTGTTCAATAAAATTAGCTATTACAGAAATGCAAAATAAAGTCACAATGAAATACCACTCTGTCAAAGCAGGACAGACACCAGTGAAAGTGGTAAGGTTTTATTTTAATCACTAATATGCTATTGCAATAGGGAAAGAGGTCCAGCATGAACTGAGCTCATGATCAATTTGTACAGAGGTGTCCAAGCATGTATAAGGGAACAGGGAGGGATGAACAGAGATTCAGAGTTAGGAAAGTAAAAAAATTACAAAAAGCAGATTTGGGTGTTGGGTTCCTTACTGGAGCTTGTGGATGTTATTCTTCTACCTTCACTGGGAGATAGGGGCTCTACCTTTTGTGTTAGCTAGAACAAATTCCATTAGCAGCCTTGGGTTTTCTCAGGCAAGGCAATCCTAAAAGATCATACACTGCATGATTCTTTTTAGATAATATTCTCAATAAATTATACAGGAGAATAGATTAATGGGTGAAAGGATTTAGAGAAGGGGGAGAGAAGGAAGTTGTAGCCTTAAAAGGGGATCCTTGTAAAGGAAATATATCCTCTATGTTTATTGTAGGCAAAAAAGTACATGTGTGATAAAATTAGATAGAACTAAATATAAATATTAAAATGAATGTTTGTGAAACTACTAGAATCCTAGTAAGTCTGTAGATTGCTCTCCTATGGTATGAATGTTTGAGATCTCCCTTCGGAATTCATATGTTGAAATCTAACCATCGATGTCATGGTATTAGGAGGTAGAGCCTTTGAAATGTGATTAAATGATTAGAATCATGATTAGGGTCCATAAGTCAGATTAGGGCCTTTATAAAAGTGTCCCTATGGATCTGCCTTCCTTCCAACTATGAGAGACAACGGCAAGGTGCTATCTCTGAATCAGAAAGTAGGCCCTTCACCAAATAATGAAACTACTGACTCCTTGATCTTGGACTTCTTAGACACCAGAACTGTAAAAATAAATTTCTGTTGCTTAGAAACTACCCAGTTTATGGTATTTTGTTATGGCATTCAGTGTTAATTTTCTGGCTGCGATTTCATACTTATGATAAGCAAAATGTTACCTTTAGGGGAAACTAGGTGATAAGGTACATGGAATCTCTATTATTTCTCACGACTCCATGTGAATGTATAATTATCTAAAAATAGTTTTTAGAAAAATCACACTAGGTATGGAGGACATACTGGTAATGAGGGTGGAATATACAGAGTTATTTGGGTCACTGGATGGGAGTGTTTGCTAAGGGGAATTAGTGAAAGGCAGCATGACCACCAGGTTCAAAGAAATGGACTTCTTTGATCAGGAGAGAAAACAGGAGGAGTAAATGATTGGAGAAGAAATGTGATGAATTTATTTTAATCTTGATGAGCTTATTTTTCACATAATCAACTGGGTACAGTATATGAAATGAAAAGGCAATAAAGAAAGAACAGGATTCTCTGGGAAAGGAAGGCATATACAGTGGTCTATTGGATTTTGGATACCTAATATTCACATAACATTTAAATATATAAATGTACATTAAAATATCAGAGTTATGAGCATATTGGGAAAAGGGGATTTTTTTAAATTTAGGGCCAAGAGAAAATATACAAAAATATCTGTGTAAATTTCAAATGCAGGCTGGGATCAAATGAATATCATTAGTATTATTCATTAAAGTAATAAGGAATTAATATTGAGTACCCTCCATTGTTAAATTTTAGAAATATTATCCTGCTAAATCCTCACAACAGGCCTAAAATGTTTGTTTCATTATCTTTAATTTCTAATCATAGAAGTTAAATAATTGGCCAAGTTGAACAAAGCAATTCAGTAATTTATTGGACTAGAATTTGAACTTGGATGTGAGTTCCAATCTCACAACCTTTCCACAATAAGAAACTTATGATGGCAGATCATAACACATTCCTATAACTGTAGATATATTATTCCTGTTTATTTTGGACTTATTTTGAGAATGATCTGCCTACATTTACATTTGTAAATATCGGGTTTCCTAGAGGGAAAATTTAAAGACTCTATTTAGGTCATTTGCCCCATCTTTACAGGATGGTATGCCAGTACTGGCARTAATTGAATATTCATGGCTCTCCATTCTCTGGATGCCAGCCTTGCTGCTGCCATGGTACCACATTTTCCTTTGGATTAGAGGGGTTAATTTTCTATAGTAATTGATTGGTAATACTCTCCTTGCTATTTTCCAGTTTTCTGTTTGTTTCAGGGTGTGTTATCAGGTATGCAGACGATACAGATTTGTTTGTTAGCATCACTTCACAAATACAAACAGATAAACATTAGGTAGATTCAGTTCCATGTCCCATGTCCTCAAGCTTACACAGTGCCTTAGCTCCAACTTTAACTACCAACACAGGAATCCCTAAATCTCCACATCTGTAAGCAAATAATCAAAAAATACCTTTCCATTCTACACAAATTCCTGTACTTTACACAATTTGGTTTTCTCCTTATACAGTGATTTTCTGGGCTCTGTTTTCTTTTTCTTTCTTTTTTTGTTATCCTATTTGAGACTTTTAGGAGACACATCATGCCTGTGATCTCTAGGGCTTGAAAGTCAATTTCTGTACCGTACATTATAGTCCACTTACTTTACAAACGAAGGGCAGTGAAATTAAGCCTTGAAAAGTAATTTTCAGGTAGAAATTGGTCTTCTTCTCCTAGCCAACGTCGATGAAACCTCACTTTTTCCAAAGATCTTAATTATGATAATGATGATGATGATTCGGTAATCTAGATTTAATTTTCAAAGGCATTTTAACAAGACTTGTCTGTATCTCATTCCACATCCGGGAAAATGCATACTCAATCCTGAAAACTACCTCTCAAATAAACACTGGAAAAGGTGGCAGCAGGGAATTTGAGGATGTTTATGTGATCTGATTCTCTGCTGGATCAGTTAATTTTTTGATCCTTCACCTTTTTACAGCATCCAAACCTTAGGTGTAGATTTAACTTCTCGCCATTCACGCCATCTAGTGGTTATAAATATTATACATTTGGTTTTTAAGGATGATTCCTAATGACTGGGGGGCGGGGTACACGAAAAACAAAACGGTTGGCCGTGACAATTTTCCTGTCTCCCTTCACATCACTTACCCCTCACGGACACCTTTAACTACTTAAGCCATTTTATATATGCACAGCGATGCGTAAGAGACGATGAAGGGGACGCACACTCTCAGAGACGCACGTCCCTTGACGTTGACATTCAGAAAAGGGTTCTAAATCCTCCTGTCATTCGCAAAGGACCGAGAAAGGAGTTGTGGCAAGACCTAGACCGAGGAGACTGCTTGACTTTTCAGCAAGTTGGACAGATGTCACATTAACCTCAGCAACCTTAAGATCTGTTTTGAAAAAAAAAAAAAAAAGTAAAAGAGGGAAAAAAGAGGGAATAGCACTTAAAAATTCCGCCGCGGAGCTTTGCAGGTTTTGCGACCCATTCGCCCCCAGAAGACAACCAATTCCTGCGCGTTCCGCTCCGTTCACCCTCCTTCCCAGCTTCTCTTGAGTCTTTTTTGCCCCCTTTTCCCACGCTCGCCTTGAACAGGGACTTGGGAGGCAGAAAGAAGGCACCGGTCCCCTTTCTCCTCTTCTCCACCAAACCACCGCAGCCGAGCGCGTGAAGCTTCCCTTTGTTCATCCGAGGCTCTCTCTCCTCTCCCGGCAGAACCACCTGGATGCTCTCCCTCGGTGACATTTTGCGCCGGGGCTGGTGGGTGGCTGGGGTGGAGCGAGAGGAGCCCGAGGGGGCGGGGGCGGAGAAAGGTCAAGCCGAGGGAAAGGCAGGAGACGCCTTTCCTAACCTGCGTGGCGGGGCGTGCGCGCGGTTATTTATTTATTTTCTTCTTATTTATTGATCGCACGAGCAGAGCGGCGCGGGGAGCTCGGGGAGATGCAGGACCACCCACTGGCGGGGAAGCAAGGAGCAGTCCTCCCGCGCCCCCGCGCTGCCGAGCGCCTCCAGCCTCCGCGCTCGGACGAGAGCCCTAGCCGGCCCCGGCTCCGGCCCCGCAGCGCCGCCGCCGTCGCCCGCCTGTCAGCCCCGCAGCCCCGCCACTCCGCAGCCCCACACCGCACAGCCCCGGCCCCGGTGACAGCGGCCGCGCAGTAAGTTGGCAGGAGCGAGTGCCCTCGGTTCTCGCCTCCCCCGCACCTTTTGAACTTGTTGCTGTTGCTCGGCTCGCCTGCGCCTGGCTTTTGGAAGGTGAAAAGGAGGAGGGAGGTACGGAGGGATGGGGGAAGGGGAAGAGCTCGCTTGAGCTTTATTTATGCTCCCTGGGTGCATCGGATCCGGCTGCTGGGGAGCTGCTTTCTCTCCTTTTCCTTTTCCGGGTGCACAGCGAGGAGAAAGTCTCCATGCAACTCAGCCCCAGCGCGCACTTTGCCAGGTAGGTACCGCGGGCGAGGCGCGTTCTACGCGGAGGCAGATGCTGCTGCCGCCTCGGTGGCGGCGGCTGCCAGCTCACGGGCTCAGTAACTGTCACACTGCACCTGAGCTGAACTTGAAAAGAGAGTGAAGGGGCTATTGGGCGAACGCTTTTGGCAGACACCGAGGGTGTTTGTAGACGTGGGGGAGAAGGATCTATGTATTAACGCCCCCCACCGTGCCCAGGGCACATCACCTCCATCTCTGCAAATACGGGAGTAGTAGAGGCGGCAACCGGACTCCCAGAGACGTGGGGCAGCAGCTGTGACTGTATCTCCGAAGCTACAACAACAGGTCGCTTGTTTGAGACTCCTTTGGCGGGAAGGGCTACTTGGAAAGGGAAGGTTTGAAAGAGCGAAAAGGGAAGGTGAGAAGGTTCCCCAATTCCTCAAAATAACACCACTGGGTGACTCTTCGTTTTCTCTCTGCTACTCCACATACTGACCCCATATCGTCCAGACTCTGTCAGGGGAGAAATTAGACACCTGTTTGAAGAAACTGCTGCATCCAGTCACCTGTGTACTCATTCGTGCCAGGAGGGGGCCTGTGCAACTGCTGACACAGGTTGGGTTTGCTTCTACTGGAGGTGATTGCATTTTTAAAAAATTGTTATTCCTCATACCTGAGAGAGAAACTTGCCTTCCTGAGGACTGACTTCACCTGGAGCACTGTTTTGGAGTAGGGTGATACCTCTGAACCGTGTTCTCCAGTACTGGGCTTGAGACGAGGAGGGTACGACTGTGCTTCTTTGGCTGACCCACTGTAGAAGCTCCTTTACTCTTGGTGCCCCACTTCCCGGCAACATGGCGGCTGGTGTGGCCGCATGGCTGCCCTTTGCAAGGGCAGCAGCCATTGGGTGGATGCCTGTGGCCTCTGGGCCCATGCCTGCTCCCCCAAGGCAGGAGAGAAAGAGGACTCAGGATGCCCTCATTGTGCTGAATGTGAGTGGCACCCGCTTCCAGACRTGGCAGGACACCCTGGAACGGTACCCAGACACTCTGCTGGGCAGTTCTGAGAGGGACTTTTTCTACCATCCAGAGACTCAGCAATATTTCTTTGACCGTGACCCAGACATCTTCCGCCACATTCTGAATTTCTACCGCACGGGGAAGCTCCACTATCCCCGCCATGAGTGCATCTCTGCTTATGATGAAGAATTGGCCTTCTTTGGCCTCATCCCAGAAATTATTGGCGACTGCTGTTATGAGGAGTACAAGGACCGCAGGCGAGAGAATGCCGAGCGTCTACAGGACGATGCYGACACTGACAACACTGGGGAGAGTGCCCTGCCCACCATGACGGCTAGGCAGAAGGTCTGGAGGGCCTTTGAGAACCCCCACACCAGCACAATGGCCCTGGTGTTCTACTATGTGACAGGGTTCTTCATTGCCGTCTCAGTCATCGCTAATGTGGTAGAAACAGTGCCCTGTGGGTCTAGCCCAGGCCACATCAAGGAACTGCCCTGTGGGGAGCGGTATGCAGTGGCCTTCTTCTGCTTGGATACTGCCTGTGTCATGATCTTTACAGTTGAGTATTTGCTTCGCCTGGCTGCAGCACCTAGTCGTTACCGTTTTGTGCGCAGTGTCATGAGTATCATCGATGTGGTGGCCATCCTGCCTTATTACATTGGGCTGGTCATGACAGACAATGAGGATGTCAGTGGAGCCTTTGTCACACTTCGAGTCTTTCGAGTCTTCAGGATCTTTAAGTTTTCCCGCCACTCCCAAGGCCTCCGCATCCTGGGGTACACACTGAAGAGCTGTGCCTCGGAATTGGGCTTCTTGCTCTTTTCSCTCACTATGGCCATCATCATTTTCGCAACAGTTATGTTCTACGCAGAAAAGGGGTCTTCAGCCAGCAAGTTCACCAGCATCCCTGCAGCATTTTGGTATACCATCGTCACCATGACAACACTAGGGTAGGTGCCATCAAGGGAAATGGGGTGGAGGTTGGATGTGGGGGAGTTGATTGTGGGTCTATTAAGGTGCTATGATACTTCAGAGAAACTAATTGTTTTCTTTTTCCTAAGTACATTTAGGAAAACATTATCTAAATGATTTGGAAAGTCTTCTAATCTGTGAAATGGTATGATGCAAAGATTGAGGTACTAGTGGGTTGCTGGCAGATATCGAGTATTGACCCCTGAAAGGGATAAAGACACAAATTTTGAAATTCCTGAATATAGGAGAATGTTAAAGATATATGTATGAGTATATAAAAATATATAACAAAGAAAAACAAAAACAAAACTTATGCCCTAATAAATATGTGAATATGCACAACATGTACTGCAATGTTTAGAAAATGCTTCCATGCATTCCAATGAAAAGTTTCCATGTATATTTGAAGTATTATTTTCCTGTTGATACATATGGAATGCATTTCTCCCTCTCAGCATCACAGTTCTTATTTTACAAAAAGACAAAAAGTAGATTGTAGATGTATCCGAAGAATTTTAAAATATGCATGTAATAATAGGTGCATTTTCATTACAGCTGATAGGTTATTTTTTAGTCTGTCAGGACTGAAGCTGATCAACTCCACAAAATGTAGTGGAATGATATTTAAAAGTCTAGGTTCACAGTTTCAAAAAAAAAAAAAAAAAAAGAAGAAGAAGCACATGATTGTCATCCACACTTTTTTTTAGAAACTACAGATCCTGAGCAATGGATCCACACCCACTAAATACGCATGGAAGATAGAGCAGTGAATGTCTGGTGAGATTGATGTTCACCAAGGACAGGCTGCATTATACAATTTTGGTTCCTAATTTCCTTCTAGAATTCTTTTGTGCATTCTTTAATTGTGGGGGGAGATGAAGTTTTATAACTGAAGGGACTATTTTGAATTCACGTGTATTTTAAAATAGATTTTTAGGGCTAGTATTAAGAATTGTTTAGATGGTAGGAAAAAAAGAAGTGTCAGATGATTAAGAATGTTAATCAAACTGCTGAAAGTCACAGCATTATACATATTAGAGAATCTAATAAAATGGTTAGAGCCTTTTACTTTTATTAGTTTTTAGATAAGCCAAGGAGTGATGTTATTGCCCTTTCTTCAGCTTTATGCTACTTTTCTTGCATAGGTAATCAGTTCAGTAAGGATTTGGTAATGGCTGTAAGAAAAAAGTTATTCCCAAGGCTGCTGTTTAAGTTTTGTTTCTGGCTAATTTCATTGGCTTCCTTAAATGACATTGTGGTTAAAGTCAACTTAATTTTATTAGACATATTGTGTTGAACAGTTTCTCATGTTGTCAGATGGCCACCTAATGGAATATTTTTTACATGAGGAATTTTGGGTGAGTTAATTAACAAATTATTATAAAGTAAAATACAGTGCTTTTGATTTTGACATAGTCTCATTTATTTTTGAAGACTTATGGGTAGATTTTTTTAAAAATCAGTTAGTGAAGTTCATATCATATAGCTTATATTTCCCTTTTATTTGGTTGACAATTTTGTGACAGATTGTGAAGAAGATTCAGAATACCTTAGGTGCTTTTTCTTTATTAAAAGATAATTTGGTGTTTTTTTTGTCTTATTGCCTTTATGTCATTCGAAATTATTATTATGGGACAATTGAGCAGTGTCAATCACTGTCATGATTGTAAATTAGAAGTATATGTGAATATAAAAGAATGCTTCAATAAAGGAAGAAATATTAAAGGGAAATAATACTTTAAAAAATTGGTGTATATGGCAGGTTTTCATGAGGTCTCATGTCATTTCAYTCTTATCTACTGTCTAGATATAGCTATATCTACATATAGATATGTATTGAATGTAGGAACTATTACAATGAAAGTTGTTGAGCTGCTAATTTCATCTAACTAAAAGTTCTATTCTATACCTGAAAAGTTGGTATTATTTTAATATTTGTTCCCTGAAATTACTTCCAACTTTTATTTTGAAATTTGTTTGTTTTCAGAAAAAAATGAAGAAATTTTAACCACTAATGACAATGTTTATTATATAAACAAAATGTTTATAAATACTTATTTCTGCAGTAAGAAACTGAATAATGCTTGAGTAGTTCACACATTTCATAGGTAAGTAGATTAGGATTAAATACATATATATATATATACACACACATATACATGTATGTACAGTTTATCAGAACTTGGAAGCAAAACGGGAATTAGTTTCAAGACAAGTTTCACTGAAGTTGAAAATTTTAATTTTCAGGAAATTAAGCTAATTAATGATTCTAATGGAATACACCATCCAACTTTTCATATGTGGAAATGTTACTGCAACCAAAATGAAGAGTATATGTAGACATTTAGCAAAGCATATGCTTTATATAACAACAAAATTTCTTAGGAAAATGTATTTAATTTCTCATCAAAAATATTTATAGTGCATTTTAATTTCCTGGAGAAATAGATTCTTAAAAGTAGTGCCTTTTTGATTTCTTATCTGTGGTTATTTTGTGACTCAACAGCATTATGTAGGAATAGAATATATTCAGCAAAAGCCATTGCCTGACAATCTTTTATGCTGCCGTTTTAGAGGATAAAGTATAAAGTGTAAACTTTCTGGAATGTACGCAGTAGTTTTAGATACCATGAAGTTGTGTCTGTGAGATGATCAGAATTTTCCATTATACTCTGAGCTTTTTTTGGGAAGTGGGAGTGAGTATCAGGAATTGAATTCAGGGGCACTCAAACACTGAACCATATCCCCAGTACTATTTTTTATTTTATTTAGATACAAAGTCTTACTGAGTTGCTTAGTGCCTCACTTTTGCTGAGGCTGACTTTGAACTCGTGATCCTCTTGCCTCAGCCTCCTGAGTTGGGATTATAGGGGTGTGCCACCACACCTGCCTGAATGTGACTATAATTTTAATGATACTGATTTTCATCAATTAATGATAATAGATGTGAAAAGGTGATCCTAAACAATGGCTATCAAAAGTTCCAGCTTATGTAAACATTACCTACATGAGAACAAATACCCAAGAGCTTTGTCATGGAGGACTGGTAGAATTAAAGACTACTTCTCAGGTCATTTTACACAATATCTGTAAGTCTGTTCCTCCATTCCATCCTTTCTTTTCGAAGATATTTATTAACCTGCTCAGGGCCCTGGTTACCCTTTTGCCTCCATCCCACCCATTTCCCTTTCCATGGGAAAACTCTGATTACTGCCTTAGTTTGCCATGGTGAAAAAGAGATAACATTCGTTGATAGTCTTTGTTCAGATGGTAGTGTTTAAATGTTGCTCAATTCAGGAAACTTCCAGATGTTCACCAATAATAATCAAAAACTATTTAAAAATTTGTTCAATAGGGTCAAGCTTCGGTTTGTCATTGTACTTCATGTTCATGATTTGGGATTTAAAAGTGTAACCAGATGGCATATTGAATAATTTGAGGAACTATTCATATATCAACTTTTTTTTTTAAGAGAGAGGGAGAGAGAGAGAGAGAGAGAGAGAGAGAGAGAGAGAGAGAGAGAGAATTTTAATATTTATTTTGTAGTTTTCAGCGGACACAACATCTTTGTTTGTATGTGGTGCTGAGGATCGAACCTGGGCCTCATGCATGCCAGGCGAGCGCTCTACCGCTTGAGCCACATCTCCAGCCCCACAGATAATCAACTATTTAAAAAAAAAATTTCATTGCATTCTTGAGGATCAAACCTAGGGCTTCACTCATGCTAGGCAATCACTGTACCACTGAGCCACATCCCAGCCCTAGACACATTTTTTAAGTGATGATATTGCTTATAATATAAATCTTAAGAACTTTAGAAATATCATCTTGTGATCCATACCACTTTTTACATTTTAAAACCAAGTTGTTTTCATCAAAGTTTCCAGTATGGAGAAGAAAGCTGCTATATRGCATTTCTGTAAAGTTCATGTTTAGAATGAAATTTTTTGATGTTATTTTTACTTTTTGTAATTCTGGGGATTGAACTCTGGGCCTCACGCATGCTAGGCAAATACTACCACTAAGTGTGTATATATCTGTGTCCCTACTTAAAGTTTTATCTTGAAATAGGATCTTGCTGAGTTGCCCAGGCTGGCCACAAATTTGTGATCCTCCTGTCTCAGCCTCCTGAGTCGCTGTAAATTTTGTGTATTTAACTACATGAATCATATTCTGAAGTTTGAACAAATTTGGGAAAGCAAAATATTTGTTTATATCGTGTATTTACCTGAAGCATGGTAGAAGTACATTTTTGCTCTAAGGAAACTTTGTAATTGTCTACTGATTAAAACCATCAAAAACTAGCAATATCATATTTCAATTTTAATAGGTTTAGTGAATTTGTATTTTAAGAAACAAAAACAAACAAAAGCAAGGGCTGGGGGGTATAGCACAATGATAGATCACATGCTTATGCACTAGGTCCAGGGTTCAATCCCCAGGTTTTTTTTTTTTTTTTTTTTTAAGGCAAAATAAAATTTCATTGCAATTTTTTAATTTTTTTCCTCTTTTGTACTGGGGATTGAACTATGTCACAAGTCCATTTTATTTAATTTGATTAATTTTTTAACATATTTTTTCGAGAAAGGGTCTTGCTAAGTTGATAAGGTTGGCCTTCAACTCCTGCCTTAGCMTCCTGATTAAATGGGATTACAAGAAGGAGCCTTCATGCCCAGCTCATTGCAATTTTTCTAACAACATGACATTTTCAAAAAAGGAAATTTTGCTTTTTAGAGTGGCATAATTTGAGAAGAATTTATCATTTCATTCATGATCATATGTATGCTATATGATAAAAAGAAATATAAAAATGCACTTAAATAGCATCCTCCTGCTACCTGTCACAATTCTAATTACATTGGGGAATATAAGGAGTATATCTTGCAAAATCATTTACGTAGAGACTTTCAGTGCATGCATCTACTAAAATTGATGGAATTATCCCCCTTGTGTTAGCCTCTGAACTTAAATATTGCTA